ATATATATAAGTAAACATGATCCATATATATGCTGTCTACAAGAGACCCACCTCTGAAGAAGGGAGTCATGCAGATTGAAAGTGGAGGGATAGAAAATATTTTTTCAGGCAAACGGAAATGAAAAACAACAAAACTAGTGTGGCAATACTTATATCTAACTAAATAGACATCGAAGTGAAGGCCATAACAAGAGATAAGGAAGACCCCATCATAATACTAAAAAGATCGATACAAGAAGAAGATACAAGTCTGGTAAATATATATGCACCCAATACAGGAGCATCCAAATACATAAAAAACCTTCTGGAAGATATCAAGGGTAAGATCAACAGCAATACAATCATAGTAGGGGACTTTAATACCCCATTGACATCACTGGATAAATCTTCTAGACAAAAAAATCAACAAAGAAACAGCAATCCTCAACAACTCACTAGATCAGATGGAACTAACTGACATCTTCAGAGCATTTCACTCCAAAACTACAGAATATACATTCTTCTCAAGTGCACAGAGGACAGTTTCAAAGATATACTACATTTTGGAACATAGGCAGAGTTTCTTCAAATTCAAGAAGACTGAAATCATATCAAGCATCTTCTCAGAACACAATGGCATAAAATTAGAAATCAACTACAGTAAAAATAATTTTTTTAAAAATGAAACACTCGGAGGCTAAAAAGCATGCTATTAAACAATGATGGGGTTACCAAAGAGATCAAATAAGAAATAAAAAGCATCCTGGAAACAAATGACAATGAAAACACAACAATCCAAAATCTATGAGATACAGTGAAAGCAGTCTTGAGAGAGAAGTTCATAGCGCTACAGGCCTACTTCAAAAAACAGGGAAAAATGGTAATAAATTACCTAACTCTACAACTTAAATAATTAGAAAGAGAGCCGAACGAACAGTCCAGAGTGAGCAGAAGGAAGGAAATAATAAAGATCAAACCAGAAATAAATAACATAGAGACCAAAAAAACAATACAAAAGAATCAATGAAACCAAGAGCTTGTTCTTTGAAAGGATAAACAAGATTGATGAACATCTAGCCAGGCTCACCAAGAAGCAAAGAGAAAGGACCCAAATAAACAAAATCAGAAATAAAGGAGGTGAAGTAACAACCGACCCTACAGAAATACAAAGGATTGTAAAAAAAGATACTATGAGCAACTCTATTCCAACAAACTGGACAACCTAGATGAAATGGACATATTCCTAGAAAAATACAATCTTCCAAAACTCTACCAATGAAATTGAAGCACTAATCAAAACACTTCCAGCAAACAAAAGCCCTGGTCCAGACAGCTTCAAAGGGGAATTTTACCAAACATTCAAAGAAGAACTAACACCGATCCTCCTCAGGTTATTCCAAAAATTTCAAAAAGAAGAAATATTTTCAAGCTCGTTCTATGAAGCCAGAATTATTCTAATCCCAAAACAAGATAAAAACACTACAAAGAAAGAGAATTACAGACTAATGTCCCTGATGAACATAGATGCTAAAACCCTCAACAAAATTCTAGCAAATCGGATCCAGCATTACATTAGAAACATCATACACCACGACCAAGTGGGATTTATTCCAGGGATGAAAGGCTGGTACAATATCTGCAAATCAATAAATGTGATACAACACATACACAAACAGAGAGACAAAAATCACATAATCATATCAATTGATGCAGGAAAAGCATTTGACAAAATCCATCACCCTTTCTTGATAAAAACTCTCAGCAGCCCTAACCAGTTTGGCTCAGGGGATAGAGCGTTGGCCTGCTGTCCAAAAGGTCCCAGGTTCCATTCCAGTCAAGAGCACATATCTTGGTTGCAGGCTCCTCCCTAGCATGGGCCCTGGTCAGGGCTTGTGCAGGAGGCAACCAACCGATTTATTTTTCTCACATGAATGTTTCTCTCTGTCTTTCCCTCAATTCTAAAAAGATCAATGGAAAAATATCCTCGGGTGAGGATTAAGAACAAACAAAAAACTCAGCAAAGTGGGAACAGGGGGGATCTTACCTCAACATAATAAAAGCCTTATATGACAAACCTACAGCCAACATCATACTCAATGGGAAAAAACTAAAACCATTTCCCTTAAGAACAGGAACGAGATAGGGATGCCTTCTTTAACTACTTCTGTTTGACATAGTACCGGAAGTGCTAGCCATAGTGATCAGACAAGAAGAAATAAAAGGCATCCGAACTAGTTCGGAAAAGAAGTAAAACTGTCATATTTGCTGATGACATGATATTGCACATAGAAAACCCTAAAGACTCCATCAAAAAACTAACTGATTTAATAAGTGAATTTGAAAATGTAGCAGGATACAAAATTAACACCCAAGAAATCGATGGCATTTTTATACACCAATGATGCCTTGTCAGAAAGAAAAACTAAAAAAAAAAATCCCATTTACCACCACAACAAAAAATTTAAGCTACCTAGGAATAAATTTAATTAAGAAGGTAAAAGACCTGTACTCGGAAAACTACAAGATGTTGAAAGAAGAGATAGAGGAAGATATAAACAAGTGGAAGAATATACCATGGTCATGGATTGGTAGAATCAACATCATCAAAATGTCCATACTACACAAAGCAATCTATAGATTCAATGCAATCCCCATTAAGATACCAACGGCATATTTCACAGACCTAGAACAAACTCTCCAAAAATGTATATGGAATAAAAAAAGATCCCAAATAGCCACAGCAATCTGGAGAAAAAAGAACAAAGTTGGAGGGTATGCCGAGCCAGCTCAGCCAAGGGTTCCGCAAGCCTGAGTGAGGGTGGTGAAGGATGGAGAAATGACAAAGAGAATAAGCTGGGTCTAGGCCTCAGCCGTGGGCAAACTACGGCCCGCGGGCCGGATCCAGCCCCTTTGAAATGAATAAAACTAAAAAAAAAAAGACCGTACCCTTTTATGTAATGATGTTTACTTTGAATTTATATTAGTTCACACAAACACTCCATCCATGCTTTTGTTCCGGCCCTCCGGTCCAGTTTAAGAACCCATTGTGGCCCTCGAGTCAAAAAGTTTGCCCACCCCTGCTAGCCCCTCGTTGTACCAGGGGTAAATAATAGAACCTATTTCGCCGGACTTTCCTAAAATCAAAGGAGGTCATTCACAGAAAGCACCGACTGGAGTGAAACTTCAGTCACTGTGTGCTGACACCATCACCATCTCCTGTCCTGCCTGCGTCCAACATCCGCTCACAGAAACAGGGCGCCCTTTCCTCCGCCATGTCTTCCCTACAGAGCACTTCCTACGACTTGCAGCTCTGAGTTTACTTACTTTTCTGTCCCCGCTACAACCACATCCCCAGCCTGACAACCACGCCTGGTAGACACCATGGAATGACAAATCCATCACAGAAATGGGTGAGTGAGTGGGGAAGGGAGGACATCCCAGGAGGCGCGTGGTGGGGGTCGG